GAGCTGATTTAACCGCGAAGTCTTTGATAAATCGTCTGTAGTAGGAGCAAAGTCCCAGAAAACTGCGCAGTTCAGAAATATCCTTAGGCGTTGGCCATTCTTGTATGGTTTTTGTCTTTTCAGGATCGGTTCGAATCCCATCTGACGATACAATATGACCGAGAAATCTGATGCTTCGCTGTAGGAACGAACACTTCTTTTTCTTCAGCTTCACCTTTGCCAGTCGTAGACGGTCAAACACAGCTCGAAGACGTTTTAAGTGCTCTTCAAATGTGGTAGACCAAATTATTATGTCATCTACATAAACAAGACAGTCCTTCCAGGCTAGGCCTTTCAATGCCAAATTCATCAAACGCTGGAACGTTGCAGGACCGTTTGTTAAGCCAAATGGTAAACAAGTCCAATTGAACTGTCCTCTGTGCGTCACGAAAGCGGTCTTGTCACGATCTTTTGCTACCGGTACTTGCCAGTATCCTGATCCAATGTAGAGAACCAAACCGTTCCATCTAAAGACTCTAGGATGTCGTCGGTTCTTGGTAAAGGTTGGGCATCTTTTATAGTTACTTCATTCAATTTCCGATAATCAATGCACAATCTGTAACTACCGTCTTTCTTTCTAGCTAATACAACAGGACTACTCCATGGGCTGTTTGACTCCTCAATCCTCCCTTGTTTCAATAAATCGTCGAGCTGTCCTTCCACAGCTTGTCTTTTGTTTGGTGGTAAACGACGGGGTGGCTACTTGATAGGAGTTGCATTTCCTGTGTCAATTTTATGCTCTATCAGTTCTATCATCCCGAGGTCACCGGCGTCTTCCGCTATGATATCCTTGAATTCTTCGAGAAGCGCAGAAAATTCACTTTTCTGTGCTTCCGAAAGTTCATGCACATTTTCCGAATGCTCATCTTCTTTGACGTCATTTGAACTCTGATAGCTGTCACTTAATTGACTCGTTTTCACTTCGAACGCACTTACAGAACCCGTGTTCTGATGCAAAGGATAAAATCGGCCAATTGTTCTATTTGCTTTCAGCGTTACTTTATCGTCAGTAAAGTTAGCCATTCGAATAACCGCTTTTCCGTTTCTTGGTAAAATTAATGTTCGTGCTAATGCCGGAGCACCGTTGGAACACGATTGATTAATTCCCTCTACCATTCCCGGGGTACCATCATTCCTCTCAAACCCCTGCTCTAGTTTGGCTGTAATGGATAGTTCAGTTCCGGGATCAATCTCCACGTTCTCTGCTAATACTAAGCCACATATGGCGGGTTTTGATTTCTGATAGTGAATGGGTATCTCACTGTCCTTGATACAAAATGTGCCAAGATCATAACATATTTTACACCCATTTGCTTCGAAGAAATCTGTACCTAATATAGCCTCATGAGAAATACCCCTTACTACTACCATGGCTTGGCAAGCTTGGCACATTTTGAGAATTGTGAAAGCCAGATTTTAAAGCTATGGCCCATAACAAAACTTCGCGGGACTTTAGGTACATATTTTGCTTTGCTTTCATTGTTTTCTTGGATTATTTGCTTCATAGTACTGACTAATTATGACTCACTTGATGAACTCGTACCACTACCTTCCTCCGTGACTTTCTCTCTCTCAGCCTTGTCCTTCTCCTCAGCTGCTTTCTGTCTACCGTTTACCATCTTTTTCTTCTTTAATCTCTACTTCGTTGTCTTCCTCTTAGTATCCCACCGCTGCCACCAGTTGTAAGATAATATATTTATTAATAATTACAAAGTATTACAAGGTCATGAATCCCGCACACAAGCACAAGCACTCAACAGTCCTCTACGCCATCAGTCATACGTGATATCACGCAATAACGAATCCACTGTTCTTACAC